CCCAAAAAGAACTAAAAAATGATTGAGAACCTATTAGGACATGATTACATAGGAAGATGTGAACATAAGAGTATAATGATCGTTAGCTAATTACACATTTAGAGTATTATTTAAGTGCCTGGTGATAATAAGCATATGATATTAGCCAACAAATAGGCCCCCCAAAAGCTGTATCTTTATTGCTTATTTCTGTGTTGTTATTAAGTAAATTTGTTATCACTGGAAATTAACAATCAGTATTTGAATGCCTGACTGTTGTATTTTGGAAGATCTGCTGTGGTGATGTAAGTAATTGGAACACAGCATCTATCTTGCAATGAGAACAGCAAGCAATGCCAGCCGGTCAGACAAAGGAATTCCATCCCACTGCAATCCTTTGAAACCAACACTTCTATGCTGCAACCAGCAAGTGACAGAAGAGGTTCAAAATGTTTTGTATTTCTGTGAGAGGCAAGGATTTTTTTTCATGATATCTTTTTATTCAATTAATTGTATGGTTGGAAGAGTTGTTGGACAAGGTGTCAGGCATCAACTGTACTTCCTCAGGTCACTTTTATTTGTGATAAGATGACCTGAGGAAGCCTGCTTTTCCGCAGGCCAATAAAGTGTCCATTATCTGAGGACAGTTGGGTGGCTCACTTTGCAATGGTGTTTCTATCTGCAGAAGTTGAAATTTCCTAGTATGTCAGTACGCTCCTCTTCTCATCCTTCAACCAGCGCCATCAGTGTCTTCAAAAGTGTTTACTACACTGATTTTTTTTTTTTACTTTTGTTCTCAATTTTTTGCCCCTGTCCACTCTAGCAATATCTTGATGCAACTAAGCAGGCCATTCATGCCATACAGAACAGCAGGAGTGAATTGCTTCTCTCCTACCTGGTGCCCTAGCTTTTTTAAATTCTTTGCATGACTCCCCTTGGCATGTACCATCCTGCATTGTACCCACAGTGAGTCTGTACCTAAATGCTAAAAGTCAACCCTTTAAGCATCCATTACATATAATTGAAAGTTACTTGATTTGGATTGAGTTTCTTTTTTTTTCTCTCTCTCAAAGGTCGGGCACACACTATGCAGACGACACTGATTCATTGTAAGTCAAAGAATGTCACTTTGCAGACCGCATTTTTGATTTCCTAAGTGTTCAGAGCAGTGTGTTAAAGGTCTTTTTCTGATTCCTTGGTGTAACAGTGCATGGTGATATTAGTCACCTTTATCATGTTCATATAGTTTCTTTTTCCATAATTGCTGTGACAAATTCATTTGCAAAACCTCTGGGGTGGCTTGTTGACTTTTTACATAAAAGCAGGTGGCCTTTTTGACCAAGCCCTAAACAATCCAATTCTACAAAATGCTCTGTATCATTAATGTCCCAGTTGCTCTGTACTTGTGATAAGAGTCTGTTCTGTAATTGTGTGCTTTTAGGTAAATAGGTTACTAGATAAGATTGATAACAGCATCAGCAATGAAATGTTTTAAACTAAAACTGGAGAAGAAAACAGCAATTGTGTTGGCTAGAAATTACCCTGGCATTATTCACATCGCTGTAGTTAAAGATCTGTCAAGGTTTTCAGTATGAATCCTCATTTTTAGAGAACTAAAAAGGACTAAAACTTCTATTGCAAAAATATTCTATTCCAGACTGAAGCTTAAGGACAAATTACAGCCATTCCAGCATAGATAGGCTAAGGCAAAGAGGTAACGCAAGGAGCTTTTTCCTTTTAGTCCACATTTTCAAAGGGCAATCATAATTCAACTACCCTGCTGAGGAGAGCTGTTGAGGCAAGGCAAGGGACTCTTATTCTTCCAGTTAGCACTAGTAGATCCAGCACGCTTGGGGAGAACACTTACTAATGCCTTGTGAAATAAGTAGCCAAACGAAGTACCTCGCCACACCTCCCTCCAATACCTAGAAGGTATTATGGCCTAACCCAGTGGTTCTGAACCTGTTTAGATTCAAAGCACCCCTTGTTCAGTCTAGGGCACCCCTCAGGAGTCTTGAGGCACCTGTTAGAAAATGCCAGCTATAAGTTTTCACTCATTTTTTTACTACAGATAAATAATAGAGCAATTCTTCTGTTGCAAAGAGCTTGGAAAGACCACAAAAGGTCAGAAAGCTTTTAACAGTACGGATTCCTGTTTAAAATCTCTTGGTTTATCTTGTGAATCATGTTTGCACACCTAAGAGTGCTGACATTCAATGGCATCTCACAGAACCTTTGAAAGACTCTCAAGGCACCCCAGGATGCCATGGCACCCTGGTTAAATTGTTCAGTTGTACTGTTTAGGTACACTTATAATTTTAAAAATCTATATTTTTACAGATGGGTTTAAAAAATGGATTTTTTTAAATAGATTAATAAATCAAAGGACAAGAATTGGCCCATGTGTCTACTTATATTAAGATCCAAATGCAAAACACGGCACTCACTCCAGTGAATGAAGCTTCAGACAGATTCTTCTTTACTCTCCTGTGTCTCATGCAGCACTTTATAACATAGGTGACCTATCTGCAATGTGCTGAGGTCTCCTATTAATGGTAAGCACCTATAACTGACTGAAAGCTATAGGAATTGATGGCATTCATGGTGTTAAGTACAGGTGGTTGAAATGTCATATTGACTGAAATTTTCCAACAAAAATGCAGGAAGATAAATATGTTTTTCTTACCATCTTCCAAAATTATTAATAAGGCAGCTGGCTTTATGGGTGAAAACCTACAATATACCAATAAAGTATTCCTAAATATTTTCTGAAACATGTTTCTATAATGTAAATATATTAACACATGGGAACATGACCTCTATATAGGATAAA